CACTAAGACAAGGTGACATGGCGGTAAGTCAGTATTTTACTAAGGTTAAATCAATTTGCAATGAGATTGCAAAATTAGATCCTCAGAATGCAATTTCTGAGACGAGGATGAAGAGAATAATAATTTTTGGATTAAATCCAAAATATAATGGGATTATTACTGCCATTAGAGGTTGGGCCACAGAACCCACCTTGACAGAGTTAGAAAGTATTTTGGCAAATCAAGAAGCTTTAGACAATCAAATGTCTAAAGTATCAATTAATGAGGAAGACAAGGCCCTTTTTAGTAAAAAGAGAGGCCGAAATGAGGTTAAGGCAGCTGCAAATTCAGATAGCGAAAGTAAAGGCCCACAAAGAAGACAAGGTTGGCAGAAAGGCCAACATAAGAAGGGTCCAGAGCAAAGGGGAGCTACGCAATCCCGATTCAGAGACTACGAAGAACAAAAGAGATATCGGCGCAAGGATGGACGATGTTACAACTGTGGTAAAAAGGGCCACTATGCACGAGATTGTTGGGCCAGGAAAGAAGAAGGCAACACAGTCACACTTAAGCAGGACGAGAACGAAGAAGAATGGTATGTCCAAGCATCGTACGCGGTAAAGGAATCTCGGAGGGATGAAGGTGTAGAGATTGTGGCATCATGCATGGATGAGCCAGTAGAAGAATCAGCATTGGTCACGGTAAGTGAAGCAATCAATTATGATGATGATTGGATTGTTGATTCTGCTGCTCGAATCATATGACTGGAGACAAAGGAAAGTTCCTAAGTATGTCAGAATATAAGGGAGAAAGAGTTGTTGTGACTGCAAAAAACTCCAAGATGCCAATCTCTCACATCGAAAAGGCTGTTATAGTCCCCCGCTTTAGTCCACATCAAGTAGAGGTCGACAATGTCTACCATGTACTCGGGATAAAGAAGAATTTATTATCAGTTTCACAATTGACAGCTTCAGGCAATTATGTGGTGTTTGGGCCAAAAGATGTAGGAGTGTATCGAAGGTTCAAGCCTATATGTCCTGCAATTGTGAAAGGAAGGCGATTAGAGTTTGTCTATGCAATGTCAGCACAAGAGGCATACATTAACAAGGCAAGGAAGAATGAGACAGCAGATCTATGGCACACGAGACTTGGACACGTGAGCTATAATCGATTAAAAGCAATGATGAAACAATCCATGCTAAAAGGCTTACCAAACTTGGAGATGCGAGAGAATGTCGTTTGCTGGGAAAGCTCACGAGCTTCCATATGAAGAGTCAAAATACAAGGCCAAGGCACCATTGGAACTGGTGCACTCTGATGTGTTTGGACCGGTGAAGCAGCTATCGATCAGTAGGAATAAATATATGATCACAATTATCAATGACTATTCCAGGTACGTGTGGTTAGACTTTATGAAGGAAAAATCTGAAGCACTAAAGAAGTTTATAGAGTTCAACGAAAAGATTGAGAAAGAGGTTGGACGTATGATACGGTGCTTGCGTACGAACAACGGGGGAGAATATACATCAAAGGAGTTCAACCAGTACTTACAAAAATGTGGCATAAGAAGGCAGTTGACATGCCCGAACACCCCACAACAAAATGAAATCGCAGAGAGAAAGAATAGGCACCTGGCAGAGACATGCAGGAGCATGTTACACAGTAAAAATGTACCACCAAGATTTTGAGCGGAGTGCATGAAGACCGCTGCGTACGTCATCAACAAATTACCCCAGGCAAGACTAGGCTTCGTTTCACCACATGAGAAGTTGTGGAACACAAAACCTTCGGTGAGTTACTTCCAAGTGTTTGGATGTGTGTGCTACGTTTTCGTGCCAGGCCAAGAATGCAGCAAGTTCGAGAAGAAAGCAATCCGGTGTATATTCGTTGGATATGACAGCCAACAAAAGGGATGGAGGTGTTGCAATCCGACGACCGGAAGGTGCTACGTATCCAAGAATGTGGTGTTTGATGAAGCATCATCGTGGTGGTCTTCACAAGCAGTATCGCTACCAGATACAAAGGAAATTGAAGAGCAAGTGCAAAAGCAAAAGGAGGTGCAACGCGAAGATAAAGAAATAGTAGATGACGTCGAAGTTTTGCCTGGACAAACTGAAGCAAGATCTCCAGAGAAAGAGAAAAGCCCTTGGAAGACAGGTATTTACACTAGGTTTACAGAGGACGAGAGACCTAGTCAGATGGAGGAATTAGAGGAGGAGGTTCCTCAACCTCAGCGAAGGAGATCAACAAGGACTCGAAAGCCAAATCCAAAATATGCGAATGCAGCATTAATAGAAGACAATGAAATTAAGGAACCAAACAACTATGAGGAAGCATTTCAACATAAAGAGTGGAGATATGCGATGGAAGAAGAGACCAAGGCATTGAAACAAAATGAAACATAGGAGTTAGTGCCAAGACCATCCAGTGTGCAACCCATTTCATGTAAGTGGGTATACAAGGTGAAGACCCGTCCAGATGGGACGATAGAGAGATACAAGGCTCGACTGGTGGCTTGAGGGTTTTCACAAAAGTATGGACTAGACTATGATGAGACATTCAGCCCAGTTGCCAAGATAACTACGGTCGTGTATTGTTAGCACTAGCAGCAAGCAAATCATGGAAGCTCTAGCAAATGGATGTCAAAAATGCGTTTCTGCACGGAGAAATAGACCGAGAGATATACATGGAGCAACCAAGGGGATTTGAGAGCACAAGTCATCCAACTTATGTGTGCAAATTGAAGAAAGCTTTGTATGGTTTAAAGCAAGTCCCTAGAGCATGGTATGGAAAGATTGCCGAATTCTTGGTGCAGAATGGATACGTCGTTGCACCAGCAGATTCAAGTTTATTCGTGAAAGAACAAAAGGGTAAGCTGGCCATAGTGCTAGTGTACGTGGATGATCTCATTATCACTGGAGATGATGAAAAAGAGATTCATCAAATAAAGAGTAATCTATCAGTACGCTTCCAGATGAAAGAGCTTGGGGAATTGAAACATTTTTTAGGACTTGAAGTTGAAGGGACAAAAGACGGAATATTTCTATGTCAATAAAAATATGCCCAAGAATTGTTGAAGAGATATGGTATGCTCGATTGCAAGCCAACCTCGACACCAACAGAAGTTAATGCTAAGCTTTGCTCAGCAGAAGGACGAGATTTGAAGGATGCTACAATGTACAGGCAAGTAGTAGGAAGTTTGATCTACTTGACATTGACACGACCCGACATAGCTTATGCGGTAGGAGTAGTAAGTCGATTCATGCAAAACCCGAAGAAGCCACAATTGGAAGTTGCACGGCGAATATTAAAGTATGTCAAGAATACCATTGACTATGGAATCTTCTACAAGAAAGGAGCACCATGTGAAGTTACAGGATATTGCGATGCTGACTATACCGGTGACCATGACACTCGGCGTTCGACGACTGGATACATGTTTACTATGGGATCCGGAGCTATATCTTGGTGCAGTAAGAGACAATCAACGGTGTCTCTTTCTAGCACGGAAGTGGAGTATAGAGCGTTGGCTATGGCAGCTCAAGAATGTTCGTGGCTTATGCAGCTATTACAAGACTTACGTAAACTGGTTGACTATCCAGTTACGCTACATTGTAACAATCAGTCGGCAATACGTTTGGTAGAGAATCCAGTGTTTCATGCTAGAACCAAGCATGTGGAGGTACACTATCATTTTGTTCGAGAAAAGGTATTGCAAGGAGACATTGAGATGAAGTATATCAATACTGAAGGCCAAGTTGCAGATATATTCACAAAGGGACTTAGTGCTACGAAATTTGAAAATTTCATAAAACAGTTTGGCATGACAACCAGGTCCGCAATAAGAGAAAATAATAATTGAGGGGGAGTGTTAAAATATCAATTATTATTCTAGATTATTCCTTCATCACTGACTGACAAATGGAAACAACTAGAAAGCTATATTTTTAAGCAGTTAGAAATATCTAGTCATTAATTGTGAAGAAATATCTAGAGCTTCCAGCAAGCTTCCAAACTGACATTAGGAAACTATATATAGGATGGTGATCATGCTTATGTGCATAGTAGAAAAGAAACACAATAAGTAGTGAGTGAGTGACGTGAGTGTATTTGTGAGAAGTGAGGAATATATATTGAGTGTGTGTGTCACCAAAATATAAATAGTATTGTGAAGAGTGTGTGTGAGTAAGTAAGTGAGTGTGTTGTATTAGTGTAAAATCATTAGAGGTGCTGGGCACCAATATTTTTTGTATTTGCTCTTGTATATTAATAAAATTAGCCTCCTATTTTTTCAATAGATATTGCCCTGTCATTATTAATGTTATTACTGTCACCACCTTCAACATTATTACTCTTGTCATCATTATCGTTATTATTATCATCACTACCACCACCTTCATTGCTACATATGAGGAGAGCAATGAGAGTGGTGGTGGTTGCAATAGTGAAGACAACAACATGATAATGTTGGATAATGGATAGGTTTGTATACTATATTGTTCTTTCGTTGCATTGTTAAAGATGAGATGATGATGTGATATTTTTATAATGCATTTATAATGTTTTTTTTTACTCTAGCTTACTCTTGTATGTCTCAATGTAATGTGGACTACAATAACAATACGTGGTATGAAAACAAAATAAATAAAGTTGAAAAGTTATTGTGAAAGGATCATCAGGATATTTCTTTAATATGATGAGCTAAAAATACCGATGCAAGGGGAAAAATTATAAATAACAAATGTCAAGTATTTCATTGAAAATAATGTGCTACGTCAATTCGTTAACGTGAGTCCAGTTGAGTATCAATGGCATGTGACATATTAATAATAAATAAATTATGGAACCAAAATAATCATATTCTTATTTTTTGCTAAAGTTACATGCCACGTTAACATGAAAAATGTATCTTACACCAACGTAATTTTCCTTTCCCGTGCGTTCCAACCGCTCAAGTAGAAGATCAACCTTTTCCCGTTGCGACCGCTTCCAATCGAAGCAACCACGTGTCCTCCTTCTCACCGTTCCAGAAACTATCTCATTCTCATCCCATTCTGCCTCTATTTCCTAATTTTGCAATCCCAATGCAAATTCCAAATCTAACCCACGCACTCTCACTTCATGTGACTCTTTGCATCCTTCACTCTCACTACTCTTTTCTTTTTTGTCAACTTTAATCGCAGACAAGAAAAAAAAAAATCTCAACTTGCATGATATTTTCTTCCTTTTCTATTCATCATTGATTCATTCATACACTCCATACACTTTTCTTCTATCTCTTTGTCTCTTTCCACTTAAAGGGTCTCTAGTCTCACTCACTTGAGGTATCATTTGGCATCATATCTCTTGATTCTCTTTTGTGGCTTAGAAATATCTTCCCATATACTTCCACACCCTGATTTTCTTTTTGCTTATTAATCCCTTGTTTTCCCACTCGACCATTTCTTCAATTCTTGATCTTGATAGAGAGATTGGTAGCATTGCTTGAAGTCGGGGGAGGTAATTAATTGTTCTCTCACTTGGGGGCTTTTTCTTCATGATTGTTAGTAGATGAAGTTTCTATTTGTGACAATTTGATGAGTGGGTAGTGGAAAAAATTGTTTTTTTGTGTGTGTGATAGGAAAAAGATAAGGAATTGGAAATGGCTGCTAAAGTAGAGGCTAATGGTGGTGGTGGTGGTGGTGTTTCTCCCAAGGTTCCAGCAGTGGCACATCCATTGGCTGAGAAGCCAGATGAGGTTGCATCCAATATTAGTTACCATGCTCAGTTCAGTCCTCATTTTTCCCCTTTTAAGTTTGAGCTGGAACAAGCTTACTATGCCACTGCAGAGAGTGTTCGTGATCGTCTCATTCAGGTATCATGATATACTTCTTGAATTAGAATTGGAATATCTGTAATAATCATTTCTGTGTCAGTAATGCTTGGTTTATAAACAGTTAGGGATATCAATTATGCATTTGTTTCACTTTCATGGTTTAGTCACATCATATAGTTATAATGGTGAATTGTAATGTTGGCGTTACCACAGTGTTTCAGTGTATAAAGTGTGCACACACGTGCATGCACATGTGAAATGGTGAACCTTTTCATGGGCATGGATCCTGTCATCAAATTTTAACATCATAACGTTGTGACCGTTGTGTACATGAGAAGATCCATTCTCACATTTTTATACTTCTATATGGGACAGCTCAATTCAGTAGCTTGAAATGAACTGAAATTTGGGCACATTTATAAGTACTGGTTGATATTTGTAATCAAGGGGCAGTTGTGAATCATTTCCTTGGAATTTACTTAAGATACATAAATAAAGGGTAATTAAATTATACCAGATACATTAGATAAGTTCTTCAAATTTTGTTACTAGTTTGTTGATTTTGTTCTTTCATCACTACTCATTTAAGTCCTAGGATGGTATACTTGAATTGTTTGTTTGGATGGGACTAATTCTGTTATTGTACATTGATGATAACCATTTCAGCAATGGAATGAAACCTACCTTCATTTTCATAAAGTTGATCCCAAGCAAACTTACTACCTATCAATGGAGTTCCTTCAAGGTCGAGCTTTGACCAATGCCATTGGAAATCTGAACATCCAAGATGCATATGCCAAGGCTTTGCGCAAATTTGGGCTTGAACTTGAAGAAATATCAGAGCAGGTAATAAAAAATTGCAATCTCTATGAAATATATTTTTCTCTAGAGCCTTTGTCATGACATTACCCCAATTCGTGCAAAATCATTTAATTCCGAACCAATTGTCAGGGAATAACTCTTGAAAGAATGCAGGCCTACTTTACCTTATGCTAAAATTCAATTTTATTATAAAAAAAAAATGGGAGCAGAAAGGGTTGAATCACTACTTTGTCATGCATAGAGACTTTATATCATGCTAAAAACCAACTCACTTTAAATCTTAAGCTATTAGATGGAGGTACATGAATGGTTTTACATCTCTAACACCAAGGATTTATTTATTGAGAGAAAGAAAATATGATTTATGAGAAAGGATGGTTTCTTTATGCTTTTTATTCCAGGAACTATTTCAACCAATGTAAAATCATGCAAATTCAAAGCAGTGTTAAAAAGTTAAAAAAGAAAAAGAAATGTTGATAGGTAAATAGTCTAATGAGTAGTTGAGTACTGAATAATCTTATGCTAAATTACCATTATCAAATTATGTAATTAATAGATAACTTTTGAGGAGATTCATCCAAAATATTTAACCTGGTTTTATTTCTTAAACTTTTAATTACCATGGAATAGTTTTGATAAATTCAAGATTCATTTTTCATAAAGAAAGCATGTTCCAAAAGTCCTCATTCCTTCATATTTACGATTGGTTTTAATATCTAGTATATAAAACTCATTTTCTGGACCATCAAACATGCAACTTTGCAGGAGAAGGATGCAGCACTAGGAAATGGTGGTCTTGGTAGGCTTGCTTCTTGCTTTCTGGATTCCATGGCAACACTTAACTTTCCTGCTTGGGGGTATGGTTTGAGGTATAGATATGGACTATTTAAGCAGAGAATCACCAGGGAAGGTCAGGAGGAAGTTGCAGAGGACTGGCTTGAGGTTTGATTTATCTCCTTTATTTTAAATATATGGAACTATATCACATATTTCACAGGATACTGATGTAAAATCAAATGAAAACCAAACAGAAGTTTAGCCCCTGGGAAGTTGTTAGGCATGACATTTTGTATCCCATCAGATTCTTTGGTCATGTTGAGGTTAATCCTAATGGAAGGTTAGTGTAAATATACTGCTATACTTTATAAATTCAGTTTTAGCCTTTTAGGTTGTTTATTCATGACTTTATATGATTGTGACAACATGATTCTTTTTCCTTTAAATCTTAATCCAAATGTTAAAATAAGCTATACTCTATTTAGATACAATGATATGAAAGTACTCACTGTTTGGTGTTTATACCAGCCGAAAATGGGTTGGAGGAGAGGTTGTGCAAGCACTGGCTTATGATGTGCCAATTCCAGGTTACCAAACCAAGAACACCATCAGTCTCCGCCTCTGGGAGGCAAAGGCGAGTGCTGAGGATTTCAATTTATTTTTATTCAATGATGGGCAACATGATGCTGCTTCTGTGCTTCACTCACGATCCCAACAGGTTGGTATCAGCAAATTTTCTGTACTGTCCAAGAATAACTTTGGTTATTGTGATGGTCTGATGGAAATGATAGTAAGTGGCTTTATATAAAGAATGGGGGAAAAAGTTGGTGGGTGGCTATTGTCTGTGACTTCATTACTTGCAATAGATTAATAGTTCTTCTACCTGCAAAGATCCTGTTACAGTAATAAGAATGTAATACAAACAGAGATAAGCATGACTTTTGCCATTATCTTAGAACAAATCCTATTGAATTTTGTTGTACCCAACCCCCATAATCCCCTCCCCTTGTCCTTGGTACCTGTAGAAAAGAATCAAGCATAGAACTGTGAAACAGTTACATATAAAAATTTGTATTTGTAGATTTGTGCAGTTTTATATCCTGGGGATACCACAGAAGGTGGAAAACTTCTACGATTGAAGCAGCAGTTCTTTCTCTGCAGTGCATCACTCCAAGTAAGTTAAATCCACCTGATAATTTTCCTTTTCATTATAAGAGTTCCTTATAGTATCGTTCTTTGTGCCTGTTCATAATGAGAAACTAGGATTGAAACTTTCAGCAATGATGGTAGGTAAATGATTGTATAATGTTGATATGATGCTGTCTTAATTCAAAGTCTGGATTGCCTTCATTGTGATGTTTTAAGAGATATTATCTCTAATTCACTATCCCCTCTCAGTAAATTGATGCAACAAACAAAGTGTTATTATAGTTTCTGTTGTGACTTTCCTTAATGAATGCCTTAGCTGAGAACCCTTTCTTTATGTAACAAAGAATATATTCTGGATTTAATGGCATGAATATTTTTCATACGAGAATCCATTAAGACCAGTTATTTGATTCATTGTTACCAAATATCAAGAAATTTAGTTACCTGTGTTGTTTGATATCCTTTCTTTACTGCCCACTCTAATCTTGCACCAATTACAGGACATAATTTCCCGGTTTAAGGAGAGGAGACAAGGACCTTGGAACTGGTCGGAGTTCCCGACAAAGGTTGCTGTGCAGTTAAATGATACTCATCCAACGCTTACAATACCAGAGTTGATGCGATTACTAATGGATGAGGAGGGGCTCGGATGGGATGAGGCATGGGATGTGACAACTAGGTCAGTGAATTGTAGAAAATGCTGTTTGGAGTGGTTATTTTCCATTTTCTTTCTTCCACCTCACATTTTTGGTGTATTACTGTATACCTCGCTGCTAAAATGTGATGCTATATCTTAACCAGGACTGTTGCTTACACCAATCATACTGTCCTCCCTGAAGCACTAGAGAAATGGTCTCAGCCAGTAATGTGGAAACTGCTTCCCCGCCATATGGAAATCATAGAAGAAATTGACAGGAGAGTAAGTTGCTCACCACCCTTGTTTCTCTTTGATTGACTCCATGGAAGGTGTACTGATATATTTTAATGTGGAAATCATAAAATTCTTGCAGTTCACAACAATGATAAATACAAAACGATTGGACCTTGAGAGTGAGCTTTCCACCATGCGCATCTTGGACCATAATCCTGAAAAGCCAGTAGTTCGGATGGCAAATTTGTGTGTGGTTTCTTCTCATGCGGTAAGTAGTGCACTGTTTGAACTCAATAAAATAAGAGTATGATCCATCTTACCATGTTCTTGTTTTCAGTCCTCTTAAATCTCTCAAGTCTCCAAAGGGTTCCAATATTGGTTTAGGAAAAACATTAAACTGGATGTTCATGAACAACTTCAATCAATTTTCAGTTACAGTGTTACTCTAGCATGTTTCCTGCATGTTGTATTATATTTTTGAAGATATCTTGGTTGTCAAGTGTTGGGAAGTTCTACATTGTCTACCTCAATTCTTCGGGTGCGGTTTATATATGTATTGGACAACTTCACTTAATGTCAATTGGTTTTAAGATGAAATTTAACATAGATCAAAGCCTAGAGCCCATCTTTTTGGTTTTTGTATTATGGTAAGCACTGCTTGGTTCGAAAGGCATCTATGGAGGAGGGGGGTTGGGAAGCCCCACATTGTCTGTCTCAATTCTCCGGGTGCAGTTTATATATGTTTTGGACAATTTCACTTAATGTTAATTGGTTTTAAGATTAAATCTAACATCAAAAGAACATTTGTGATGTTAATACTGCAATGCACGGTTCACTTGTTTTTCCAAAGTCACCTAGTATTCCAATAGTGGTATTAGAATAAAGGTTGAACTTTCCTTTTTTTAATTATTAATTTTCTTTTTCCCCACAACCCTGTTGTTTATGTATGTGAAATGGATTTCAGCTGAATTTTATTTATTTATTGGTGCCTATCTCTTTGTAGGTGAATGGTGTTGCTCAGTTACACAGTGATATATTAAAGTCAGAATTATTTGCAAATTATGTTTCGATATGGCCAACAAAGTTCCAAAATAAAACCAATGGGATTACACCTCGAAGATGGATCCAATTTTGTAATCCTGAGCTAAGTGGGATAATCACCAAATGGTTAAAAACTGATAAATGGGTAACCAATCTTGACTTGTTAACAGGTCTTCGACAGGTAGGTACCCAGATGCTTCTTCTCTGCAGCTAACTGATTCCTACTACTGCAGTATTCTAACAGTAAATTCCTGGTGCTTTTTCCATAGTTTGCTGACAATGAAGATCTGCAAGCAGAATGGCTGTCTGCAAAGATGGCTAGCAAACAGCGTTTGGCACGGTATGTTTTGCATGTGACAGGGGAGAGCATTGACCCAGATAGTCTGTTTGACATTCAAGTCAAGCGTATCCATGAATACAAGAGGCAGCTACTAAACATTCTTGGTGTGATTTATAGATACAAGAAGCTAAAGGTATGAGAAATAGACTGCTGTTTGATAGGGTAAATTTGTGAAATGCCAATCGTTCTAATTTACCTATATTTTCTTTTTATTGCTTTTAACCCATGTTCATAATGAGTCATGAAAATCTGTGTCCTTATCCTCGTACTCAAGCTGCAACTTCAACATTTTATTTTTTGTCACAGTAATATTTAGCAAAATACATGTCTCATATTAGTATTCATCTACTTTCATCTAGGAGATACTAATATACTGTCCCCACTGTATTTTGTAAAAGGCCCCAGCATTATACAAAATTATGCTCTGTGCTTAAGATAGTCGTTATAACTAAATTGTAATAGGAGATGAGCCCTGAAGAACGTAAAATAAGTACTCCACGCACTGTGATGATTGGAGGCAAGGCATTTGCAACATACACAAATGCTATAAGGATAGTCAGGCTGGTGAATGATGTCGGTGCTGTTGTCAACAGTGATCCTGAGGTCAATAGCTACTTGAAGGTAAATTAATTTTGTTTAACTTTCTAGATAAAGAGCCTTTGTAAGTAGAAAAAATTAGGGTACCAAGGGATACATATATTATCGTGCATATCTGCTTATAATAATACAGGCTAATGGTTCCATACTTCCATCTCAGGGCCCCAAAATTGATTGTGCATACCAATAGTAAAAGAAATCTGTTTTTGGTTCTATTATTTTGCAGTGGGATAGTTTTTCAGAGCTCCACTATTTTGACCAAGTGCTTGGGGCAGACTTATAATTTCACAATTGGTTGCAATAAATGTTTATAATACTATTTTTTTTACCACTCAATTGTTACTAATGTTTGAAAAGAGGAACAGGGAAACCTTTAGATCTGTGATACTAGACCTAGATTATTAATATTATATCTGCTCGACTACTTGACCTATCATCCTTGCATTCATGTCTACTACATGAAGATAAACATTATGTATCTGCATGATTCTTAACATAATATCAAACTTGTGCTTAGTGAGGAACAAAATCTAAACTGTTCTCATTTTTGTCAGGTTGTATTTGTTCCAAATTACAATGTATCTGTGGCAGAAGTTCTGATTCCTGGAAGTGAGCTTTCTCAGCACATTAGCACTGCAGGCATGGAAGCAAGTGGCACAAGCAACATGAAATTTGCTTTGAATGGGTGCCTTATAATAGGTACTCTAGATGGAGCTAATGTGGAAATCAGGGAGGAGATTGGTGAGGAGAATTTTTTCCTCTTTGGTGCCACAGCGGAAGATGTCCCTCGACTGAGGAAGGAAAGAGAGAATGGACTGGTATGCAGTTTCATGCATGATTCATGCATGTTTGGCTACCATTTATTTCCATGAATTAATATCTTTTGTTCTTTTCAAAGGTTCTTTAAAAAAGGTTGCAAAATAATTATTTTTTCAATATAAGCTACTTTAAACTTAAAACATTTTAAACTTCAAATTTCCATAAAAGTAGTTCTATTAACAGCACCACTGTTTTATAATTTATAGTTCAAACCTGATCCTCGATTTGAAGAGGCAAAGAAGTTTATTAGGAGTGGGGTGTTCGGAAGCTATGACTATAATCCATTGCTCGAGTCTTTGGAAGGAAATTCTGGTTATGGTCGTGGTGATTACTTTCTAGTTGGTCATGACTTCCCAAGCTACATGGATACTCAGGCAAAAGTTGATGAAGCTTATCGGTAAGACTCATCTTTTCATGTTTTAGTTTCCTCTACCTGTTTGTACTTGAAATATAATAGAACCCTTTTTGCCTGATTTATATAAGCATACATGTTTCTTTGTTAAAGCAAAATTGTGAACAATATTTGGAAACTTAATTTTGGACTTTAAACTTGCCGCATGCATTCAAACTGTTAGTGCTTGATCTTAACCTCGTTCATCCCTACTATGTCAGCCTAATCCACAAACATTATGGAAAAACATGTTTTTGGTCTTTCTAAAATTTTCGAAATTCAGTTTGAGTCTCTCAAAAGTTTTTTTAAGTATTTTAATTTCTCTAATTTGAAAATGTGCTACTTTTGATCCTTAAAGTGATCTAGATAGCGTTTAAAATTTTTAAGTGCTAACTAAACTACTTTGAGGACCAAATTTAATGTATTTTCAAATTAAATGGAATAAAATAGGACAAATTTTGTAAGGGACTAAAAACTTAAGAAAATTTAGAGAATCTAAAAACATATTATCCCCTACCACCTATTAATTATGAGGCTTTAATGTTTTTATTTGTATTATTTGCATGCAGTGATAGGAAAAGATGGCTAAAAATGTCAATCTTAAGCACTGCTGGGAGTGGAAAGTTCAGCAGTGATCGGACAATTGCTCAGTATGCCAAGGAAATCTGGAACATAGAAGAGTGCCGCGTGCCATAATTTCTGCTGGATGTCTCTTGCATTCAAGTTTATGTATAGCACAAAGAGAAAGATAAATCAAAAAATAATAATAATAAGTAATATACCGAAAAGAGAAAGTGGAGGAGATATTAGCTTTCTATTTAGCTTGTCATATAAGATTTCATCAGTATTCTTATGTTAAATGCTCTCTCAAACCATCTGCTTCCGACAGGTAGAGCTTTCTATATGCAAATAAATCTTTAGTTTCATGTTCTATTTTTCAATTGATGTCAAAATTTACTTAGCCCTCCAAATTTGAGGATTACTTTTCATCTTTGCAATGAACTGCTTGGGTCCATATTCTGGTTCAGTTGAATAAAATTCTAGAAAATTTAACTGCTATAGTTATTGATATGGGTAAATTACTTTCAGGTCCTTTCAGAAATGCTCAAATTATGCTTATATTTCCTTTATTTTTTGAAAACTGCACCATTCTCTCTTTTGAAAGAGAAATTGTGTTATATTTTAGTTTATATTATTATAACTAGTGAGGTCAAGACATGGCATGTCTTTATTTGTTTTCTATTGTTTTCCATAAAAAAATTAAGAATTTTGAAAGTATCTGGATACCGACTATAGTTAGAGAAGATAAAGGTTTTTCATTGAGATGAAAAAATAAGAGAAGAGAGAGAAAAAAAATAATTGAGTAATATAATAATTAAAAAATTATATCAATATTATTTGAATACTCCATCTTTTTTATATAGTTCAATTATAGTTTATAGTTCAATTATAGTTTCTGATTAGTTCACAGATATTTGACACAAAGTATATTAAAAAAAAAATTATGCAATTAATTGTTAACACAAGAATCTTCTCAACAAAATTAAACTCAATAATGTAAAACGCCGTATAAAAATTAAACTCCACTAATAATAGTAGCAGCCTGCAAAAACATTTTACTATCTAAAAGAAACACTTTAAACTCTTACTATTTTCCCTTTTTTTTATCCACCTAGTATTGCAAAGACTAATTTCCGCTAACAGAACATGCTTTCTCATGGCCAACTATTCTTTGAAAGAAGGAAACTCCAATGCAAAACTTTGGGTTAAATAACCAAAATTAATTGTAATTTGGTACATAAAAATTAAACTCCACTAATAATAGTAACAGGCAACAAAGACTTTTTACTACGTAAAAGAAACACTTGTCATTTTTTATTTAACATATTTTAAGAACAAAAAAATTGGATTAAAATAATCAAAATTGTATTTTTTTCAAAATGGAATTTACATTGCCCGAAGTGCCCAGTAGAGATGAAGCGGACGATTCACTATCCAGATTTAGAAGAGAGTATGTAGGCTCTAAAAACATTTAAGATTTGAATACCGATAATCATATATATGTAAACAATAATCTATTTATAAAAGTAGAAACATTAGAAAGATCACATCATCTAACCAAGAGATACAAAGTCTAAAGGAAGCAAATGGCAAAGTAAAAGATGAAACAGACCAAGAGAAAAACTACGACATTTCATCATCTATACTGACGGTAATATAATTTCATGAAATAGGATCAGGTGGTTTTTAGACAAGTCCTGAACGGGAACCACACGATAACTCCATCTACAATATATCTCACCATACTAACATATTATCCACTAGAAGCCTAAGATGTTAAGCAGATATAGGACAAACAAATTTCAGGTTGAAGGAGAGGTAGATCTAGGAGTATTAGACCTCGATACTGATCTTGAACTTGCACTCACACTCGGGCTTCTTGAGTAGCGTTTCGTATATTTAGCACTCCTCTTAGAGCTTCGCGAGTCGCTCCTCTTTGAAACAGGAGTGGCACTCCGTGAGTGGCTCCTCCTTGACCTTCTCCTTGGCCTGGGTGGTGAGGCACTTCGAGAAACAGACCTGCGACGGTGCCTTCCATAATATCGATCATCCGGTGAGGCACTTCGTGAAACAGACCTGTAACGGTGCCTTCCATAATATCGATCATCCGGTGAGGCACTCCCTGAAACAGACCGGTACCGGTGCCTTCTGTAGGTGCGATCATGCGAGTTGTAGGGAGAGTATGATCTGTCACGATTTCTAACAGGTGACCTGCTATAAGGAGAGCGGGATCGAGAATATGTCCTGCGTCGATCATATCGAGAATAAGACCTGTACCGGCTATAGTATGGAGAGTAAGACCTCCTCCGATAATCAGGTGAGTATGATCTCCTCCGATAGTCAGGAGAGTAAGAACGACTCCTGCTACGGTCTGAATATGGAGACCGACTATAACTTCTTCTGTAAGGTGAATAGCTAGGAGAGCGACGAGGAGAGTAACTTGGAGAGCGGCGTCGTGCTAAATGTAATAAATATAAATAATAGAGATTAGCAAGTTGAACAAACAGTTCTATACAATCAGAAAATGAAAAATAAATATAAATCTCAATAACTAAGAAAGAACTAGGAAAACACACCATGAATAGTTCTCAGCCCAAGATACCTCCCTGGTGTTGGGGTTCGACCACGTCGCCTTCTAGCCTGCAATAGATGCATACAAGAGCATGAATAGAGGGTATAAAATCAATATAAAAGGAGAATAATAGCATCAATATAAAATCAAAATGTTTCGTGAGTAACCAAAAAATAAACCTAATAATGCAATTGTAAGAGGAGAATCTGAAGAACACATATTCACGATACATGAAATAATAGGATATAAACGCAATAAAAGAGAGAAATGCAGGGCATACAACCCCAATGATCTGATACTTGTTGGTGTATTGATTTGTTTGTTTAGTTGTGATTTGAGAGTTTGATGTAGAGCTGCTTCACACAGCTAACCTGCTGCCACAGAAACTTCAAATGGAAAGAAGCACAAAACTTTCAAATCTCAGAAGAACTAATGAAATCACCCATATAATTTCCATGCATTGGGGTTGAACAAAACTCAAAGCGAGGAAGAATCCAATCCACAAAATAGGGCATTGCTCGAAAATAATACCTTCTCCACCGTGATGACACGCCCTTCAAGTACAGAACGATCTAGATACTTTACACATCGATCAGCCTCATGAACAGTTGCCATTGTCACAAAGCCAAACCCTCGGGACTCCCTTGTCCAAGGATCAACCACCAGATGAACATCTATCACCTAGGAGTAAAAACTCAAAAGTAAGAAATTGTAGACATACAGTACTATCATCACAATGGAATGATAACCAGCTTCAACTATCATATTAAAACTACTGACAAACATCAAATGGCGTGAAGAGCTTACTTTTCCCTCAGCAGCAAAATGCTTCTCCAGTTCTCTCTTGGTGATCCTAGGGGACAATCCTGTCACATACAAATTGTTTCCTGGATTTTCTGCATCTCTTGATAAACTCCTAAATCACCAGAAGAAAACAAATTAAACATGAATGCATTAGAAAATCCACATGTTTACACAGTTACTGTTAGAGTCACACAATTCATTAAGGGATTCAATATGATGCAGCAAGTTCATGATCATATATTGCAAGAAATCACAAAAGGCTTTGAACCATACAATACAAGCATGGGTCAGTGTGATTCCGTAATACATATATGAATCACATGACATGATTCAAAATTCATTGTTTAATCCCTTATAATTCTCATCAATGAAACTAAAAATCACATAAGAATATCAATAGGGAAAACAACTAAAGGAAGCAAAACTATTAGTTGCGACTTAACTTGATTATTCCATTATTTATTTAATTTCACAACAGGGATTTTACTCACTATATACATCCTCTTTAATGTTTATCCATTATCACACACTAAAAAACAAAGCCATCACACATAGACCCACTCTATGTGTACTCATGTTTTGTGAGGCTCACGTTTGGCTTAGTTGTCTTGTCAACCGCTACTTTGAAATTTAAAACTACAACAGACTGAACACCATATATCATTTATATGATAAATGTAAGGCAATAAATTCATCACATAATCTTATGATTCTATGCTAATGATATTCAATAAGAAATTACAGAGAAACAATCCTACCTTGAACGGCTTCTGGATCTCGACCTAGAGGGCGACCGGGACACGGACCTACTGTATCGTTTGTAGGGAGAAGGAGAAGGAGAATAAGAATACCTATGAAATGAAAAATGGAAACACCTGTAAGTAAAAACACATGTCACACGGAACAGAATAGCGAAACTAAACATTGAGTGAGCAGCTCACCTTGATCTCCTTGAATACGACATCTGTAACAATTCAGCAAACAAACCAAAACATAAAAATAAAGATAAATCAGTACTAGTATAAGACAAGTCAATTACATTAAATATCAAACAACCAAGCTTTAAACAAAATCCCATTAAGAATGTTCTTATTTTAATTTGTAAAATCACTATTTGACCCCACAAACACAAATTACCAATACCCACATGCGTCCAAAAAATACGAAAAACTATTGTCCTCGTAATTTCATCAACTTGAATTTTAGTTTCTACAGTTAAAAATATTTCATTTTAATCCCTATTCGCACCTTTCTGTTTACTATTTTTTATCCATATAGAAATAGAGAACAGGACTAAAAAGAACAAAAGAAAAATAATAATACGGATAAGGCATAAAATGGAAAGATTTAAACTAAAAGATTAAACTAGTGAAAATATAGGGACAAAAAGTAATTAAACCAAGTTTAAAATAGTAGAATTTAAATCCTACTACTTTTATCTTCTAACATCCGCATCAGCATCATTTCTGTTCCATCGAACATTACAAAACGCACGCGGACACACAATTCCAGAAATTCAAAAGAACAAACGCAATCAGCGAAACCGCTCTCTGCAGATCCGAGAGTGGATGAGATCGGAGCTTACCGTAACAACACGACGAACCGCTTTCTTCAATGATGGAGAACGAGTTAAGAGCTTAGGCGATGAACGACACGAGGATCGATGCGCTTTGAAAAAGAGTGCGTGGCGTGGGGCAAGAGGTATATATAGAGGAGAAGCGTGAGGTTGTGATACTTCTTTGGAGGCTTCTGGAGAATCGGACGCCAAACCAGAATTAAACTCGCTTCAATTCTTAATGGGCAGTGGGCCTATATCCTTTGCCACGCAAAGGTATCGTGAACGGTTCCGTTTTATGAGGCTCGTATTTGCTAGCCACCGAAAAAACGACACCTATTGTGTCGAGTGTGATTTGTGAAGGGTGGTGACAAATAAGTTATAAATTTCGTCTACAAAATATTACGTTCTATTCCAAATAATTTTTTAAAAAGAAAAATTATACAACAAATTTTTAAGTATTTTTATATTTTATTTTAGGTTAAAAATTTAATTTGATCCCTTATAATATTTTTTGTTTCAATTTAGTCTCACTTTAATTTTTTGTTTCAATTTGGTCCCTAATAATTTAAATTACTGCAATGTCGAATTTTCGTCCAAATTATTTAAACGGAGTTAACTATTGGTCACGTGGATGTCACGTAAATACATAGGTGGATGTCAAATTTTTTTAATACCTTTGAAACCAAAACGGTCCGTTTTGCTTGCACTCTTGGTATGTAAATTTTGCATTTGGAACCGTTCCAGATGCAAAATTTACACACCAAGAATACAAGCAGAAAGGATCGTTCTTGTTCTAGAATGTCAAACACAAACGGTCAATGATTATAGTAAGTGACAGATCCATAAATTTTAAATCGTGGGAGCAATACTTATTCATATATTTGTAATATTAAAAATTTTACATATAATTTTAAAAATTATAAATATATATTATAGTTATTTTTTACAAGTTTTTATATTTACAATTACGATTAAGGATGAAAATAAACTAGGTAAGATTATGTTATATTATAATTTAACAGATTTAAACCTAATTTTCATTAAAAATACAAGTTATAAAATTGATATGTTTATCTGTTATAGACATTTTTTAAAATATTTTGTTAGAACTACAATCTTAAAAACCTACTTAATAATAATTTAACACTAATAAAAATATAAAAATAAATATGTTAAATTTTATAAAAATCAAGTTTAATTTATTTATGATATAAACATGTTTTTAATATGTGATATAAATTTTTAGATGATAATTTATTTTAAAACATATTTTATAATAAAAATT